ATGATGAGTGGTGTATGATGAGTGGTGTATGATGAGTGGTGTATGATGAGTGGTGTATGATGAGTAGTGTATGATGAGTGGTGTATGATGAGTGGTGTATGATGAGTGGTGTGTGACGAGTGGTGTATGATGAGTGGTGTATGATGAGTGGTGTATGATGAGTGGTGGTTGAACAGCTGTTGAATGTCCGTAACACGGAAGTTTTGCACACTAAACTTCCTTTGAATATGATATATATGGGCCTACCTTTGTGGATTTTATTCGAGGTGTCCGAACGTCCACCAATGCAATCAATAAGAAATCGAGAAATTTAAATAATTTCAAGTTGGAAAATATAGTTTAAATATATATATATATATATTGTTATAGTATTTAATATATTATATATTTTTTTACTCTATTTTTTATGTAGTTATTAATTTAAATAAATGAAAATTGATACGTAAACATTTGATTTTAGGTTTATTTTTAATTTGTTTCTTAGTAAATTTTGGATATTTTGAGTGTTTGGTCGTATAATTTCACATTTATTTCCTATTTGTTTCCGAATAAGTTTTGGATGTGTTGAATGCTCTGGCTATACGATTTTATATTTATTTCTTAATAAGTTTTGGATGTTTTGAGTGTTTTGGCCGTATGATTTTATATTTATTTTCCATTTGTTTCTTAATAGTTTTTGGATGTTTTGAATATGTTGGTCGTATGATTTCTTATTTATTTTCTAATAAGTTCCGGATGTTTTGAGTCTTTTGGCCGTATTGTGTCCTATTCGTTTCCCAGTAAGTTTTGGATGCTCTGAGTGCGTTGGTCGCATGATTTTGTATTTATATTTTATTTGTTTTTTACTTGTTTCCTAGTAAGCTTTGGATGTTCTTAGTGCTTTGGCCGCATGATTTTACGTTTGTTTTTTACTAAGCTCTGGATGTTCTTAGTGCTTTGGCTAATTATGATAAAATGGGAATTGACATGAATGTTGGGGTTGTATTGACTTCTGCGACCCGGTGTATGGGCCTTTGAATTTTTGCACATAGAAAGAGCCCTTTATTATAACAGATGCTTTTTGTATAATCGGAGCTTATTCTTTATGTACCACAAGCGGACGTAAACAACCTAGGCGACCAGTGACTTTTAAAGAATTTTTGAATATTTTTATATCTTTGAAAAGTTAGTGGATATAAATATTTGCATACACACGTAGTAGTTGAAATCTGGAGCTAAATGAGGCTGGATTTGAAATTTTTTTAATTAGCTCTAGATTTGGTGGTAGCTTGCTTGGACGACCCGAAGATGAAGCCACTTAAGCCCTTTATAGTTTTGATGGATTTTCCTTATTTCGTAGAGATCCTCGTAGATCCTCGTTTCGTTTTGACTCACCACAAGTTTCTTTCAAGTTGCTTTGTATCGAAATACATTATTTTCATATATTTTCACTACAAGTGTTGCATTGCTCGATTTGCTGTTTAGGTTGGCAGCTACTTTCGTTCGGATGATCGGATGATTAACGAAGCAATCACACACTCTTACGTCAAGTGTTGCGACCTATAGCAAACACAGGTCAATGCAGTACATGGCTAAGCCAAAGAAGGCAACTGCGTAGGAAGGAAAAAGCCAAGCGTAGTGTCCGTGCTCTGAGGAAATCTTCATTTTGATTGGGTCTGCGCATTCGTGTTTACAAGGGGGGCAACATATATCATAACCTGGATCCATAAATTTCATGTTTTAGCCCTTGTACGGCGCCCCATTGTAAAGTCAATGAAAAACAGAACTTTAATGCTTTCCCTTTGAATCTTGTATGTGCGTCTACATGGTGGACTATAGTTTTCTTCCTCTAGGAAATACTGCTGGCCATATTATTCGGAGATCTCATTTTTGAACATTGCTCTGTTTGGGGTCTACGCTGGTATAATTCGAAAAATAGGTTTTGCTCTGGTAATACGAAACGCATATCCTTGAGGCTAAAAGAGGGATTAAGCTCTTGGAATATGATATTAAGAATATTATGGAGAAATTGACGGAGTTCTTTACTCCCCACCTGGAAGTGTTACTTCCCCGGACATTCGAGATCGCGGTGTACGGCCTCCTAAAATAGCCGAAGGAGACTTTTGCCGAATACGTTAAGCGTACGGAGAGGTGCTTCAACAACTTGACCAAGGAGGGTGTGGATCTCCCAGGTGACGTTCGTGGATACATTATGTACCTTGGTCAAGGGTGTGCATCTCCCAGGTGACGTTCGTGGATACATAGGCGGTTTTGACAGAAGCGCAAGACCATAAGTTCTTGACGTGGTCTCAGGGCAAGTATGGACGTGCTGAAATTATTAGTGCACACTCCGCAGGTTGGACAAAGTGATCCGGGACGGTATGTTCAAGAGCAGCTTTTAGACGGAAGAGACCTATTTGTTTGACGAGTCCTATCGCGATGGCTATGAGGCGTCTGAGATCTACTGCCCGATTCCCGACGACGAGGATGGCAACTTCGTGTACGTCGCGGAGGGCGATTTGGACAACGTCCTTGAAGAGGCAGAGGTGCAAGAGGCTTTGGCATCCTACCAAGAGGTGCAATATCAGCTCAAAGACCAACGACTTGGTCGTGGATACTTCCTTGGAAAGGGAAACCTCCTTCCAATGCAAAGGGGAAAGACAAAGGCAAACGCCGAGTGTACATCGAGCAGCTCAAACTTCGAACCCGATGTCGCCGTTGTCAGCAAGTGGGGCACTGGGAGAGGAAGTGTTAGGCCAAGCCCAAGGAGGACAACCGTACTTTTTTCATTCGGCTCGATGAGGAGGGCCCTGAGACTGTTGAGTTTTTTGGATCCGGCACATCCCGGAGCAGCGGACCCAAGGAGGATCTGATGCTGTTTTTGAAGCTGATCGCTCTGGCGTTGGGGCATATACAGAGCGGTAGCGTGGAGAACCTGCATTTTGCGGGATTACAACCATGTCACACCATGGCGTAGTGGACACGGCAGCAGAAGGTGGTTTGGTAGGATCGGGTCCCCTTAAGGCCATCGAGCATGAGTTGTTACGACATTCATTGCAGGTCAAATGGATCCCAAAGAGGTCACAAGGCAAGGGCGTCGGTGGCAGTGCACAAGTCGAGGGCACGGTGTTGATTCCGATCGGAATCGCGGGGGTGAACGGAGTGTTAGAGTGCACAGCGGTTTATGGAGATGTTCCCCTTCTATTACCCGTTCGTATGTTTCGCGTTTTCGACTCGTTGATCGATTTGAAACGCGGCACCATGATACTGCAAACCCATGGCCGAGTTGTGGATCTTCATGAATTACCTAGGGGACACATTACCATAGGCATTTTTAGCTTCGCCTCCCGAGAGTTTATTGTTCCTGAAGAAGTCGGCACGTCTGAAGAGTTTGAGCTTGCCACACTTTTATGCTTTGCAACAGTTATACCGGCTCAATCGTGTGAGGCGAAATTCGACTTCAAGTCCGATACCTGTCTACCAACCACCCATGTCGATTGGTGGGCGTTTAACCTACGCAGGATGCAATTCCAATGGAAATTCATCCAAAGGTGCGCAATCCAAATGTGCCTTTGAGAAATTGGCGCGTGGTCCTGGACAAGATCGCCGTGATCCTGGTGCTCGTCGCAGTTCAGGACGCTACGGAGACATGGTGCTTGGAGTGGGGCTTACCGCGCTCGGCCTTGTCCTCTGCGGATATTATGGAGGATTACTACGCCGAGGCGATCCAGCGGGCCCGTTAACTACCTCCATTGAAGACCAAGGCTGCCCCCGCTATGGCAGTGAGTGCATGTCTGCATTCCAAGAGCCAGCTTCGTGGGGGAGGATATGGATCAGCCTCCTACATAGTGTGCCGCCAGTGCCATTCTAGGTGGGTCCACGACCAAAGGGCCGTAGATGTGTGTAAGATGTTGAAGCAAGGCCCCTTGAGCCTGAAACCTGGAATTATCACGTCGATACCAACGCCGCCGTCGACTCCTCCAAGGGAATCTTTAACTACGATGGCAACGCAGTCTCCGGTTCAAGGACCACCGGACCTCATGGAGGCATTCCAGATTGCAATGCGCGGTCCTCCAACAGGCCTAACAGCCGAACAGATGACTATGATGCAAGGGACGCTCCGGCAGCAGATAGAAGGGCAGGCCGCGTTCTTTATGCACCAACTTCGGAACGAACAAGTTGCTT